ATCTCAATATCTATCAAAGGTACAGATATATATGCCCTTTGACTCAGTAATACTACTCTGGGATATCTGGCTGATGGAAAAAAAGTCTACATGGACAGGCATCTATACAAGGTATATAGTTTTTGAAAGTTATATAATTGTACCAAGACACACTGTGAAGTGAAAGGGCCAGATGCAAGCAGAATGGTGTGAGCAGTGTGCTATGCTTTGTATTTTTACTTGGCTTATTTTTATAAAATAAAACAATGAAGGGAATCACAAGAAACTAAGAAGAGTGCCCACAAGAGTGGGAAAGGGCAGAAAAAATACTTGTAAGTAGGCAAATTAGGACACAATGCTAACACAGAGACATTTTCCCACAAAACTTTTTTTTAAAGTATAATTCTGCCATGGCTGGTGTGGCTCAGTGAATTGAGCACTGACCTGCAAACAGAAAGGTAACCAGTTCAATTCCCGGCAGGGCACATGCCTGGGTGGTGGGCCAGGTCCCCAGCTGGGGGCGTGCCACAGGCAAACAGCAGATGTATCTCTCACACACTGATGTTTCTCTCCCTCTCTTTCTCCCTCCCTTCCCCTCTCTCTAAAAGTAAACAAATAAAATCTTTTTTTAAAGTTATTTCTAATAAAGAACATTTTTCTGTTTATAAATGTAAAAATGAATGGATATATAAATAAATAAATGTGATTCTGACCATCAGCTTTTAAAAACGGGGTGGTAGGGAGAGCTTTTATCTTCCCCCCAAATCCACAGATATGGTTATGACAGACGCAACAACGTACATGAATCTCACAGACACTATGCTGAGTGGACACGAAGCCACAACACGTAATTCCATGTATATGAAGTTTAAGGACAGGCGAAGCTGACGGATCTGATAGAAATAAAGGCAGTACCACTCTGTAGGGGACACTCATCAAGAAAAGGCACGAGGAAACCCTGGACACTGAACATTCTGTATTTTGATCTGGGTGATGGTTACGTGGGCCTACACATGTAAAAAGTCACCAAGACTTACAATTAAACAGTGTACTTAATGCACTTGACTCTGGGTATAAAGATATACATTTCACACACTTCAGGAAAACTTGAACAGTATCAAAAATGTTTCTGAGGAAGATTTAATGATATGACGAAAAGCCTACAATATAATGTCAGATCAGGAAAGACAGGATTTGGCCCTGGCCAGGTAGCTCACTTGGTTGGAGCATCATCTTAAATGTGCCAGGGCAGTGGGGTCAATCCCCAGCTGGGGTGCATGCAGGAGGCAGCCCCTGAGCGGTTGCATGGGTGGAGCAGTGAGTGGATCAATGAATCAATAAATTTTTTGGTCAGGATTTTATACTGATACAGAATATAATCATACTTCTGATTTAGAATAAGAAGTAGAATGGGGGAAAGGATGAAAGGAAATACACTAAAATAGTAACTGAGGGTAGTAAAAATTTATACTTTACTATATTTCCCAGATTCTCTACAGTTACCAATCAGATTGACTGATTAAATAAATAAACACACACACATACACACGGCCATGCCCCACATAACATTTCAGTCAATGATGGATCACATATACAACAGTGGTCCCTTAAGACTGCAATGGAGTTGAAAATTTTCTACCACCTACTGACTTGTAGCTCATAATATTGCAGCAAAATGCATTCCTGCAGTGCCAGTTGTATAAAAGTTTAGCACATGCAATTATGTATAGTACATAATACTTGATAAACAACTATGTTAATGATTTACTTACTACAATATACTCTTTATCATTATTTTAGAGTGTACTCTTTCTATTTATAAAAAAGTTTTGCTATAAAACAGTATGCTGTGTTACGTAGGCAGGAGCCTCATATATCCTACCTTCACTGTAGGATTACACAGTCTCTTGCAATTGATATAATTTTGTGTTTTATACAAAAACATGCTGTGTAGGCTTGTAGCTTAGGAGCAGAAGGTTACACTACACAGCCTGGAAGTGCAGTAAGCTGCACTACCTGGGTTTGTGTAAGTGTGCTCTGAGATGTTCGCTGTGGTGAAACTGCCTAGTGGCACATCTTTCGAAACATATTCCCATCATTCATCAATGAATGACTGGGGTTTTTTTTTAGTCTATTATTTATTAAAGCTGGTGACAGTGAAACAAAGGAAGGGCTTAGAAGTATAGGAGAGAGTCTACGCACGGCTGCTTTGGCTCTCTTTGGCTCTCTAGAAACGTTCCAGGAAAGGAGTGAGCCCAGGTGGGGCTGCTGTCAGCTCATTGGAAAATCAGAGAAAGGGGACCTTAGAGACAGACTCAGGGAGTGAGCTCAGGACAGGCTGCCGCCCACTGCTCCCTGGTTGCAAGTCTTGTGGGGGGTCCTTTAGAGTTTAGGAGAGAAAAGTAAAAATTCACCCCTGAGAGGGAAGAGAAGTGTGGGTGTTCTCCAGAGCCAAGTGATTGTATTTAAATTCAGAAAGAACGTACCCATTAGATCTGGGGCTTGAGGGCATACAGAAAAAATAAAGATCTGTAAATATGTTTAAAATCTTTTAAACATTAAAAATATAACAATGTTGGCACAAATGTGAATGACTTCAAAGAACCAGGTTAACACCCAAACAGTGCGCAAACATGGTCTGTTTATTTTACAAAGTACAAGATATACAGAAAACGGAGGGGGGAAAAAAACCTTAAAGTCCCTAGGAAGGCAGAGAAACCATTGTGCTAAAGAGTCAAAGACAGAACCTGGCTGGTGTAGCTCAGTGAATTGCGTGCAAGCCTGTAAACCACCAGGTCACTGGTTTGATTCCCAGTCAGGGCACATGCCTAGGTTGCGGGCCAGGTCCCCAGTAGGGGGTGCATGAGAGGCAACCATACATTGATGTTTCTTTCCCTCTCTTTCTCTTTCCCTTCCCCTCTCTCTTTCCCTTCCCCTCTCACTAAATAAAATCTTTAAAAAAAAATTCAAAGACAGGAAATTAGAAAATTGCACATTTTCTGAGGAGGTCCAAGATGGTGGCAGTGTAGGAGGGCACCGAACTTGACTCTCAAAAAAACACATTGATATATACGCCTACGTCAAATATTCCTATTCCCAAGACAGAGGGCTGGATGCACAGGTTCTGAACAACAGAGAAGGCTGGGGAACTGCAGGAACTCACTGGGAGATGGAGGAGCTCTTTCAAGATCAGAAGGGCTGGCTCTAGTTTCGAGTTCAGCAAAACAAACATGGGCAGGTGAGCGAGGAATGAAAGGAAAAGCAACATGCTTGTGGCTAAAACCACTTCCAAGTTGCCTATTTCATATACTACCCTTCCTCAGCCATTTCAGTTGGTGAAATGAGGGAAAAGGGAAAGGAAATAAGGAATTTGCAAGTATCCCACAAAACATTAGTGTCCCAAAATCATACATGCACCCTTCAACAGATGATTCTTTAAGTTTCATATGACGAAATAGTTATTACTACAATAAACCTGCCAAGTACACGTCCAACAACCTAGTCTGGCTATCACAGCTGTAAAAGTTCAGTCCTCCAGGCTTCTCTGTCGTCGTCACCTCCCTAAGTTACGATGACTATCTTTTGTCCAATCATCAAAAGCACGTAGAACTGATTAAACCTCCATGAGAGTAAAATCCGGCGACAGTCCAAAGTTCACTGGGACTCTATTATTACTGGCTAGTCTCTCTTAAGTCAGTTTTTTTTTTAAGGCTCTCGAAACCTTAAGTAAACAAATCCAACAGCCAGTGAAAACCAACACACCCAGAAACTCTCCACGAAACATTTACTTCATAGTTCACAACAGACTGTCCTATTCCATCTGCAGGTGGCCTTGCCTGGAGCTCAAGGTCAAAAGAAAACATTCCCTAACACCTTCACGCTTTGTGGGTGGAAAAAAATGAGGAGGAACAAAGAAGAAGCAGGCTTCAAGGAGCGGGCAGGGACACATACCCGATGCATACCACACCTTCTGACTTTCCCAAGACTGCTTCATTTTTGCTCCTTAACTCTTAAAAAAAAAACAACAAAAAAACACTTCACCTCCATTCCTAGAATTAAACACCAGATGTGTACAATGCTAGAGCTGAAAGAGCCTTCGGGATGATCGATGTCTTTACCACAGACCAGCAGTGACCAGCAGTAGCCACCCAGTCCTTTCTGCTTACCTCCTACTAGCACCGCCCCCTGGCCACCTCATTCTACCCTGGAACGAGTGTCCGGGATTCTCAACTAACCTTCAGGAAGAAATCAATCTGCTCAAAGGAACCTATGACAGCAGTTTCTGAGATTGCTCCCGACAGTAACCTAACAGACAATTTCCGAGAAACAAAGTCTTACTCCAAACATCTCTAAAGACAGGTTAGGCTGTCAGTGACATGCACCAGGGAGATATTTTTGAAGAGAGAGATTCTGTGGGCTTTCAGCAAATCACATCATATAGGAAGCTACTACAGGTAGGAGTAACAATATAGACAAAAAAGGAAAGTGTCCTAATCTCTCTCTGCCTCACTAAAGGTATTTCATAGGTAAACATTAGTACAAAGGTAGATACTGTGATTCACCAGGCTGTTCTCCATGTAGAAAGTTTAAAGGTCTGCTACTTGCTGACACTAAAAACATCCTTTGGCAAACCTCACCCAACACAGCACCATGAGTAATAAATAGTATCTCTCTCCAAAGAATAAGCAGGAAAATAAAAGGGACTGGAGGGGGGGTGGAGGGGGGTTAGTTCTGTAAAGGCCAAGCTCTTTCAACATAACTCCTTTAGAATTAATCTCTTTTCAGTTCCTACATCCACTTCTTGGAAATGGAAATCTGATTTTTTTATCTTGTAGTAACATAATTTCCACTTATCTCACCTTCCTTCCTCAGGTCTGAGTAAAGTCTGAGGCCACAATTTTGCAATACACAGTAATTCTAAGCACAAAGCTTCACAAAGCAGTAAAAGTTGAGTTTAGACACAGAAACCTAGGGGTTTGATAAAAGGTTAGCTGCTTGCTGATTTGTTTTAAAACACTTACCCACTCTTCAACATTGGGGGGCTGCTCGTCATAAATACGTTCCTTGTCCCACAGAATATTCGACTTGTCATACTGGTCCATCTTCCTTCGAGTTTTCACAGCAAAGAAAATTATTAAAGCAAAAGCCACAATAACCATGAACCCTAGTACAATGGCAATGGCCTAAAAAGAGATGAAAGATATTGACATAATTAGATTTTAATTACTTACTTTATCCCACTGTACCCTCTGCAAGTACCTAATCCACCCTTGACAAACACCCTACTAAATATCTGTGGCTTAATCAATATAAAGCTGATACAAATGTTACATTTTAGAAATATAAAACCTAGCCCATACCTGTTGGGCTAAGGCTAGCAAAGGACACACACACACCTTAATTCAATCCTCAGAACATGGTTAATCAACGTGAGGTACTGCCAGCAACCCGTTTCAGAATTTTTTGGAGAACTATTCCAAAGCTTGAGCACCAAGGTGCCATATTTTACAGAGGATCTGTCTTACCATATTATACAGACATGATCTAACCAAGCTATAAATTAAGAGAAAACACACTAATGATTCATTTAGTCTGGCAGGTTTCTGTTTTTGGAATCTTTTGTGCACTTGCTAGAAAGGGCTATGTGGCAAGGAAGCCCTGCCCTGGACAGTCCTCCCAGAGCCTGGTAGGTGTGCTAAGTGGCGCGCTGGCCCCGAGGTGCTTCGAGTCAGGTAGACACCTGCACTCTGCTCCAGACACCTGTTAATGGGTAACTGGTGGTGCTCAATGCAGCCGTCTACCTAACAGTGACAGCCTTTTCCAAAGAACTCGGGATTGGGGTGGTCCCAGGGCTAAAAAAGGATGCACGTATGGTAAGACCGAAGTACCAACCTTCCGCCCTGTTTACCATAAGTACATCTGAATGTCAATAACAAACATTCTGAAAACCTACATTTGCAGGGAAACCATTTCAGCCTTCAAAACAGAGTGACTCATTCAGGTAAAAGAATAAGAATTCCTAAGTCAATGTGAGGAGAAAAAAAGAAAACACAAGAATAAAAAATTAGTAACCCAGAAACATTTTCTTAATATAACTAGGGGGTGACTCATGGTTGCTGAAGGCAGGGTTCTTTACCCAACCCGAACATTTGAATCACCTGGGTAGCTTTTAAAAATACTAACTTTGACTTTTACTCTAAAAAAGTTACAAAACACTGCTGAAAGGAGTTAAAGTCAACCTAAGTAAATGGAGACATTGTATGTATCAATAGACTTGATGTAAAAAATGACAATACTCCCCAAATTGATCTGCAGTTTCAATGCAAAATCCTAGCTGGGTTTTGTTGGTTGGTTTGTTTGTTTTGCAGAAATTCACAAGCTGATCCCAAAATTCACACCCAAATGCAAGGGTCCCACGATCTAGCCAAAACAAACTTGAAATAGAACAAAGTTAGAGGACTCCAACTTCCCAATTTCAAAACATACTGAAAAGCCACAGTAATCAAGACAGTGAACTAGCATAAGGACAGAAATATAGGTTGATGGGATAAAATTGAGAGTTTCAAAATAAATCCTAAAATTTACTGTCTGTTTTTGACTAGGGCATGAACAATTTAACAGTGAAATAGTCGTTTCAAAAAAGAATACCAAAGTCACTGGATATCCACATGTAAAGGATAGATTCCTTCCTAATACCATGCCCAAAATAACCTCAAAATAGATCACAGACCTAACTGACAGAGCTAAAATTAAGTCTTAGAAGAGGCCTAGCCAGTGTGGCTCAGTTGGTTAGAGCATCATCTGGTAAAATGAAAGGTCATGGGTTCAATCCCTGGTTGCAGCACAAGCTTAGGTTGTGGGTTCCCCCTGCAATGGGGGTGGGGGCAATGTTTCTCTTGCCTCCCCTCTCTGCTTCCCCCTCTCTCTAAAACCAATCGGCATGTCCTAGGGCGAGGATTTAAAAAATATGTTTCTTTGAAAAAAACACAGCAGTAAGTCTTTGTGACTTTGAATCAGGTAAAGTGTTCTCAGATATGACACCAAAAGCACAAGCAACAGAAAAATCAAATCAAAATTAAAGGCTTTTGTGCAAAGAACAACATATAGAAAGTGACACAGGAATGACAAAATGAGAGAAAATACGTGCAATTTATGTACCTATAAGGGATTTGTATCCAGCTATAAAAAGAATTCTTACAACTCAATAATAGTAAAAACAAATGCAGCCTGTTAAAAAAATGGACAAAGGTTCCAAATAGCCATTTCTTCAAAGAAGACACGTGCACAAAGAAAACAAGCTCAACATCATTAGGTGTCAAGAAAATGCAAACCAACCCAAACCCAGACACCATTCATACCCATTAGCATGGTGACAACTGGAGGGACAAAAACAATGTTAGTGAAGATGTGCACAAATTGGAATCCCATATATTTCTGGTAAATGTAAAGCAGTGTAACCACTTTGGGAAAAAGTTTAACAGTTCCTCAAAAGATTAGGCACAGAGTCATTGTAAGACCCAGCAATTCTACCCCTAGGTATATACTCAACTCAAAGAGAAATTAAAACAGGTTCACACAAAAACTTATACACAAATGTTCAAAGCATTATTCGTAACAGCCAATATGGAAACAGTCCATATGTCCATCAACTGATGAATGGATAAATAAAATTTGGGATATCCATCTAGTGGGCTATTACTCAGCAATAAAAAGGAATGAAGTACTGGTACCTGCTACAACACAGATGAACCTTAAAAACATTATACTAAATGAAAGAAGCCAGTCATAAAAGACTGCATAAATATTGTGTGATTCCATTTATATGAAATACCCAGAATAGGCAAATCGATAGAACAGGTCAGAGGAGAGTTGGGAAAGGATTGCTAATGGGAATGGATTAATGAATGTTCTTTGGAGAATAGTGAAGATTTTCTAAAATTGAATGTTTGCACAACTCTTTGAATAGACTAAAAGCCAATGAACTGTACTCTAAGTGGATGAATTATGTGGTATATTAATTGTATCTCAATAATGACACCTAGCCCCTCTCCCAGATTCTGATTTAAATGGAAGTGGGGCCTTGGCATCAATATTTTTTAAAAGTTCCCAAAGCAATTCTATTAAGCCTCCCAAGTTGAGAGCCTCTGACCCAAGGATAAAGGGGGTGTGAAAAAAAAATTATCCATACCTCCTGGGGGTCCACCACACAGTAGTGATATAAATACTGGTCCACATAGAGTCCGGAAGTTGTAGACGTGTAAAACTGGTTGCAGAGGGCAATAATCTGTGAGCCATACATGGACCCAGAGGCCTGGGCAGTTGGATTGACTCCCATTATATAGACGATTGTAGCAATAAACAACATGAAGCCCAGGATAGCACTCACTATTATCACAGTCAGGTAGTATCTTCTTGTTCTAGATATTTCAGATCTTATAACACTGGTGACAAATATCACCAATGCAGCAATGAAACAAAAGGCAGCCATAGACAGTAGGAAGCCCTTTGCCGCTCTTGGATCTGTATAACCTGTTCCGTAGCCATAACCGTAGCCATAACCGTAGCCATTTCCATAGCCTCCAAAGCTACCTGTTCCAAAAGGGTAGCCTATACCACTCCCTATTATGCCGTTTCCATAACCTCTGTCCCAGGCAAGTGTGGAGGCGACGCAGGCAAATATGGCAATGCACATCACGATGATCAGCATAGACAGAATCCGAATCACTCCTGGAGGGGAGGTCCACTTGTAGTAGTGAAGAATTTCATCTTCTGGGTAGAAAGAATAGGCCGTGTGAGAAAGCATCGGTCGAACATTCATCTCTCCGCCATACATGTCATTGCTTGGTGCATAATGACTGGGTTTGCTGAAATGCACATGAAAACAATTTCAAATTAGCATTTTTTGGAGGTAACCAGAAGGAACTTATAAAGTACTTGGAATAATGTAAACAAACCATTGGCCAAAAAACACTATTGTTCGTAACTGCCCCACTGCAATGGGGCAATTTGCATTCCCCCCCAAAATTCAAATGTCAACATCCTAATACTCAGTGTGATGGTATCAGGAGGTGGGGCCTTTGGGAGGTAATTCGGTCGTGAGGTGAAGCCCTCCTGAATGGAAATAATGTCCTTATTAAAGTAAAGAGGCCCCAGATAGCTCGCTTGCCTCTTCCACCAAGTGAGGACTCAACTAGAAGTTGGCAGTCTACAACTTGGAAAAGGGCTTTCACCAGGACCTGATAATGCTGACACCGTATCTCAGACTTCCAGCCTCCAAAACTGAGAGAAATAAATTTCTGTTGTTCATAAGGTACCCAGCCTACCATCCTTTGTCAGAGCAGCCTGAATGGGCCCAGATACCGTCTGAACCAGAAAGATATCTGTGCATCAGAATCCCCCCCAGGGCTTAGGAAAACGCAGATTGCAGACCTTCACCCCCAACGTTGCTGATTCCACGGGTCTGTGGCAAGACAAGTTTGTGGGTGATGCTGATGCTGCCAGTCTGGGAACCACAGATTGAGAACGACTGCTCTGGTGTCTATGAGTGGAACAGAAGTTGTCAAATTCTGCTACACGTGGGGAATGTATAAAATCCCCAGGTGGGACACTCCGTATCAGTTTAATCACAGTGCCTGCAGACCAAACCCCTGAAGCTTCAAATAATAGTGACAACCTTTTGCCTGATTGACTTGAGACCAGTGTATTCAGACACGACACCTACCATGACCCACCAATGAACACGTGAGATTCCTGGTAGCCTCACTCCCCTACCTAAGAAGGCACATTTGTTCATTTATTCATTTTACAGCCATTTACTGGAGCTGCCAGGCTGGGGCTGTGCCCAGTACTGGGGATACAACAATGAACAGAATGGTCTCGGTCCAGGCTCCTCACAGAGTTGAGTCTCTATCAGGGTGGCAAGACATTAATCCTTACATGATCTATAATTAGTTATGATAATAAGAGTCACAAAGTAAATCAAATACGTAATGAGGGCTCACAAAGGCAATGCCTAACTGGCTCTTGATTCTCCTTTATAAAACTATCTCTCAGACTCCAGTAATTTTATCATAAGCACAGTTGTAAAAAGCACACTGATGTGTGGACACACTGAATTTAAGAACCACATGCCTTGGGGAGGTAAAATTCAGTTAGCAAACTGACCTCAACCCCTTCTGTTGTGCCATTATTTCCACAGTTCACCTTCCTCACCCCAAGGCAAGACATTTTACTACTATAAATGCTTCAAAAAGCTACCTGAGTTTATGAGAATGAAAACGCAGGGGAGAAAGCGAAGAGAACACTGATTAGCTGGTCCCTGACCACGTCAACTATGAAAGCCCCATCATCCACTCTACTCAAATCTGTGGGCTGTCTCCAGCTGGGGCTGTCACAGACAGCGCAGCTCTGAGTTTCTCGAACATCTTGTATCCTGGCGCTCACAAGCACTTATTCTTCTAAGGTATGTACCCAGGAGTAGAATTTCTGGGTCAATTTTTTTTTAGCTTCAGCTCTACTAGACAATGTCAAACTGTTTTCCAAAAGGATTGTATCGACTTACTCCCATTACAGCATAATGTTCACAGAAGCACTGCTTATGATAACCCCACACCGGACACAGGCCAAAGGCCTACCTAGAGTGGAGTGGGTGCACTACTGGGATTTATGAGGAATATGTGTTTGGTCACTCACTCAGTTGACCAAATACATTTTTCTCACAGACATTTGGTCCTCCACAATTCCTGGCTCACTGCTCCAGAAACTCTTGGAATTTCCTATGTATCGAGAATAAAAAAGGTGTCTTTTGTTTTGTTAATAAGCACTAAGCATAGGAGAAGGTTGGAACTTTCAAGCCTTTTTTTAAAAATAGGTATTACCGTACTTTACTATTATTATTATTTTAAATATTTTATTTATTTATTTTTAGAGAGAGGGGAAGGAGAAAGAGTGGGAGAGAAACACCAATGTGTGGCTGCCTCTCATGTGTCCCTTTACTGGGGACCTGGCCTGCAACCCAGGCATGTGCCCTGACTAGGAATGGAACTGGAGACCTCTCAGTTCCCAGGCCAGCATACAATCCACTGAGCCACACCAGCCAGGGAAGGAACTTTTAGTCTTAACCCCTACCCTCCATGCTCCACCCAACCACTCACACCACCTCTGGGTAGTGGAACGAGGCTGTGGGTTGAATCAATTGCCAAAGGCCAATGACTTAATCGATCATGACTGTGTAACAAAGACGAGCTTCAGACAGCCTCCAGGTCGGTGAATATGCGGAAATTCAGGGAGAGTGGTGCACCTGGAGAGGGCGTGGAAACTCTAAGCCCTTCCCACATACATTGCTCTAGGGACCTTTTTCACTGGCTGTTGCTGAGTTATGTCCTTTCCGATAAACCAGTGACCTAGTAAGCAATATGTTGCTCTCAGTCCTGGGAACTGTCCTAGAAAATTAATTGAACCCAAGGAGAGAGTTGTGGGACCCTCTGATTTATAGTCAGAAGTGCAGGTAACAAACTGGCATTCTGAATTGGACCTCCAGTCTGTAGCCAGTTGGTCAGAAGCACAGAGAACCTGGGGAGTCTTGGAGGACTGAACCGTCGACTGTGGGATCTGAGGCTGTCTCTGGGTAGAAAGTGTCAGAGAGTTGAATTCTTAAACACCCTGTTGAGGTCTGAGAATTGTTTGCTGGTGTGTGGGGAATGCCCTCCACTGGAACTGGTCTGGGGACCCAATTTAATGGGTAACTGTGATACATCCTTTAATGAAATGCTACAGAGCTATGCTAACATGGCAGCCATTAGCCACATGGGTTTACTGACCACTTGAAGTGTGGCTAGTCCAAACTGAGACATGCTTTGACCTGTAAAATTCACAGTGATCACAGTATGAAAAAAATGTCAGACCAGCAAGAAAGAACCCTAATATTAACTATGTCTCTGGCCGATACCGATGGGTCAAGGTAGGCCCATCGATCCTAACACATGTCCCTCTCTGGCGGGGCATGTGGATAATGAGGGAGGCTGTGCGTGTGAGGGTGGTGGAATATGGAAAATCTCAGTTCCTCTCAGTTTTGCTATGAACGTAAAACTCTTCTAAAATACAAAGTCTTAAAAAAATGTAAAACTGTCATCCTGGAAGTTATGTGTAAGAGGGAAATTCATTTTTCACTGAATACACATATATATTTTTAAAAGCAAACAAACAATAGATTTCAACATTGTAGAAACAAAGTTTCAACAATACTAGGTACATATTTTTTTACATGTAACAGACTTTTTAAAAAACTGAAGAATTATTTACTTACAATTCATCAGGTCTATATGGAGGTGGACTTTCAAAAGGCCTCGATGACATGGTCAGTGGTCACCTGATCTTCAAGATGAGCAACGTCCTGAAGCTCCCAAGATAAGCCAACCTAGGCCACATAAGTAGGATAATGACATTACTATGAGCTCACAGTTTCCTTGCAACACAAACAAAACGAATGATACCAATCCCAAATAACCTTTCACACCGTGTTTACTTCTCTTGTCCTTCCCACGGCTCTTTCTACACATTGGGCCATAATTCCTTCAGCCCAGTAATCACCGAGCCTGGCAGTCCTCACAGCACCTAGCACCATGCTCTGCACATCCCGGCAGACAAATATCGTTTAAACTCGAAATCCTACATTGTAGTGATTTTTAAAAATGGTATTTATATTTTTTAAGTCCCTTCAAAGAATGAGGATGGGCATAAGAAAAATTTTAAATACGTTGTTTCACATTACTTTGGGAAGTTCACATAAAATGAGAATACACGTGAAATTGCATGGCTAGCAGAGTCTAGCACACACTAGCCCCTCAACATTAACTAAAGCCCAATCTGGTTTAAAAGGATGCTTTTCGCAGTATAATGATTACAAGGTGCAGCTCTGAATGGTGGTGGGACTGTGGACATTTTCCCCTTCTGCTTTTCTAAGTCATCAAAACTGGGCATAGTTTTTACAAATTATGGAGGGCGGGGACATTAAACACACACTGTATTAAGGAGTCCTCTTCTCTAAGGGAAAAGCAGGATGATTTTGTTCTAAAAGTCCTCAATTTGTTCCACCTTCACTCAATCAGCAAGTATTTATTAAGTGCCTCCACTATACCACGGAACCTGTGCAAGTTCAGTGTGAGACACAGCTCTCCTGAAGGTCACACCCAAAGAAAGCAGCTCTGGCACAGGCATTAACTTAGGGCTGAAATTCGTGATAAAGTGGTATGGGGATGATGACCAAAGACTGAAAGAGGAAAAGCGGAAGGGAAGGAAGGAGGGAGGAAGGCCACTCGAGCAAGATCTATTATCTGGGTATATTATTAGAGTGTCTAATATTTTTTCCTTCTCAAATAAAGTATGTGCAATCTCACATCACTATATCAGGAACAGTGTATCAATTCAAGCTCTTTAAACTTTGTTCTTTAAAATCAACGCAGCTATCCTTCACATGCTTAAGGACAGCCAATTCCAAATGTTTATTAGGTAAAACCTCAAAGGTGGAAATATAGTGAATGTTAGCAACATCAATACAATTAGCATAATTTTTCTGAACACATCATAGGAAGACTTCTCTACATTCTTTTATTTCTAAGAGCTGCCTTATTGAACTGTAACATACAGAAAGTCCACAAATCATGTGCACACAGCCCTGTAACTAGCACCCAAACACACATATAAATGAGCGCACTTCAGGACAAAATATGATGGTGCTATAAAAGTCCAGATTAAATGTCTCCCTACTTGATGTTCAGAAAAATATTAAGAAAAACTGAATTTAGACATTAAGGAAGGCAGGATGCTACTTCTAAAGCTGCATGTCACATACTGACAAACTGACTCGAGGGGAGGAATCTTATTCCTTCTCTACCTATGACTCATCCATTCAAGACTATGCCAAAAATTCCAGGCTCAGTGATGATTTCTGAAAATTCTAAATGAATCCAGCCCTAGGCTATAGTTTCAGTTTTGTCAAAAATCCAGACAAAATCCCTTCCCAAACTGCTATTTCCTAGATTCGGAGTTTAGCTGTCCTGTCTTCTCTAATAGCAAAGATTTTAAATTGTGAAGCAAATAATTTTACAAAGCTAATTAAGAACAAGCCATATCACACCAACTTCCTTTCTTGAAGTTACCAGACTGGTAGGTGAAGGAAGTGCACACAAAACCCTGAGAATCTTGAGCACATCCTTGCTGTGTACACAGTGTCATTACGCAGACTTCTAAGGGGCTGAATAATGGAACCTAACTAGGACAGAATTGGACCATTTATGTCCACCTGGAGGGAGGTCTCCACCGGTGACTACACACAAAGTGGATGCAACAAGCTAATCCAGGAGTGCAGCTAGCAAACCCACTAGCTACAAGGACATCAACACTGGTCAGGTTCTGTAAGACCAGAGTGATAGTTGAAACAAACACAGTGGTTGAAAAAGCCTTAAATTCCTCATCCCTGAGCCTCATTACCATCCTTTGTCAAATGGGGAATAATCCTGACCTCTCAGCTGGGAGAACTATGTAAAACATGAATTAAGAAAGATAAGAAAATGTATTATTCACTGCAAGGTAAGAAATTTCAGTGTTTAGGCAATTAGGTTTACTCTGTACATTTTGAAATATTGGTGGTCTGGCTAAATCAATTTAAAAATGTAAACTCAATTTTAAAAAATAAAGTACTGGATAGGGAGATCTGACTTAATAACTCCATTTTAAAAATAACTTTTAAAAATTGATTTGAGAGAGAGAGGGAGGGAGAGAGAAACATCAACTTATTGCTCCACTTACTTATGCATTCACTGGTTGCTTCTTGTATGTGTCCTGACCAGGAATCAAACCTGCAACCGTGGTATATCAGGACGACGTTCTAAAACAACCAGCTACCCGGCCAGGGCCAGTAACTGTCCATTTTTAAGTGCATTTCCTTGGTGAGAATGTCAACAAAAGCTAACATACTACTGCAAACTCAGGCAGTTTGCACAGAGATAGTGCCTGGATCTAGGAATGACACAGTTATTAAAAAGAAGCAGACCTCTGCATAACCTTAAAATTTGTGCATTGTGCTCCACTAAGTGCCTCTCCAGGAGGATGACTAAAATTATTAAAGATTTTTTAATATTTTTTATTTTTTTTAAATATTTTATTTATTTATTTTTAGAGAGAGGGGATGAGAAGGAGATAGATAGAGAGGGAAAGAAACATCAATGTGTGGTTGCCTCTCATGTGTCCCCCACTGGGGACCTGGCCTGCAACCCAGGCATGTGCTCTGACTGGGAATCGAACCAGCGACCTTTCGGTTCACAGGCTGGCACTCAATCCACTGAGCCACACCAGTCAAGGCTAAAATTAGTAAAGGTCTTAAAAAAAATCATGCCTTAACTGACATGCCTTAGATGGCTGGAAAAACACGGAATGTTTGGCTTGGAGAACTCAACATTGGAAGGACCACTAAGGCTACCTTCAAATATGTAAAGAGCTGTCTTTGGAGTCCTAGAAATGGTTCTTTGAAAAAACTAAAAAATGCCACAGATTTTCTCCCAATGTTAGGAGGAATCTCCCTCACCCTCCAAAAACAACTAACAATTCCATCTTATGCCAATTATGCAAAACTTAAGTTGTTTGATATTTGGGGGAGACTGGACACGAGGACTGAAAAGGTCTCCTTCAAAGCAGTCCATGACTGCACTTTAAGCCACAGCGGAAGGAGAAAGAGAGCCAAGATACCACAAGCTGTTGTCCAAGGCTCAGCACAGCAAGTCACGCTAGTGGAGGGACAAACGTCAAACAGCTAAGTAAGAGTGAGGGGTAAACAGCAGTAAACACTTGTTGATATGTTAACTGAAAGCCAGCTAATGTTATACATACAACAAACGTTCTCCCCTTGAAAATGCTTAGTGATCAAAAGCTGTCTTAATTTTTAAAAAAGGCTACGTTGTAATTTAAAAGTCTGAAAATACTATGAAATACTATGACCCAAAATTATTCTTTAAAGCCAACTGTCAAAAGAGTAAAAAATAACCTTTATTATATGTAAGGGCAGACTGTTCCTTTTCAATCACAGGCAGCAATGGTTCATTTGCTTTTAAGAAGTTTTTTAAGTGTGCCTGATATTAAATGATTCTATTTAGGTTATAGGCACATCATTAGTAAACTGCCTAAAATTCTGAAATTCGGCAGATTTTGAAGTAGATGAGCTCTGTGTCAGAAACTATTTTTAATAAGCTCTCCACGTGAATTTATTTAAGCACACCGTATATTTTGAGAATCATTGCCTAGAAAAAAGCAGCAATCCAAGGAAGGCCTTGATCTTGTGAGTTTACTGTACACTCAGATGGCAGGTGCCTGTGGTTCAGGCCTCAGCTCAAACATCACCTCCTCAGAGATGCCTTCCCAGTCACACACTCCGTACATGACATCTGTTTTATTTTCAGACCAAGTTTCCCCCCTAACTAAAACTATTATTTTTTCTTTTTTTTTTCCTTACTGCCACCATCTCCACGCCAACTGGAATGTCAGCTTCACGAGCACTTAGATGTCTGTTTTGAGCATTATGGTCATTCCTTATCCCTGGTAAAAAGTCTAATCTACCAATATCTGACTTATAAAAAACCAATAGTCCATATTACAGGTCGGTTTTCAATCCAGCACTGACCATCCTGAAGTTCTTCACTCATAACGCCCAGTAAATACAATCCTTTAAGTTCAACAAACATAATTAAGAGCTAAGAGTGTATAGTCTGAGGGGAAAAGAGAGATAAGGGTGAAATACACAACCATGTGGGTATCACCTAGGAGCCTGTTAGAAATGCAGAATTCCAAGCCCTACCTCTGACCTATTAATCAGAATCTATATTTTAATAAGATCCCCAGGTGATTCATACCACATTCAAGACTAGGAGGGTAACTAGATTTAAAGGTGTTTATTCACTTTAAAAGAGTTCCAATGAGGTCTACCTTTTAGCGTGGTTGATTAAATGATATAATGTACAAACACTCAGAGCCCCCAACACAGGAGGAACTGCCCATCATTCCCCTAAATGGCCTGTAAGTTATATAAATCTCACTATTCTCTTCTCCATTACCTAACAAAGGAGGCACCTAATACTAAATAAATGCAAAACTACAAAAAAAGTGTCGCTTTGTCTGAGGAGACATCTATTACTGAGGATCCACCATTTAAAATGCCTGTTTTTTTTTTTTAAAAAAAGTCAGAGAAAATAAAGATACAACGCAAAAGAAACAGTTACAGTTGGGAATGAGTAGTTTGGGAAATCTACTTCGTCTAGAAAGAACTAGTTTCAATCACAGCAAGAATTTCCAGCAGTACCTTGATGGTAAGGGTTTCTCTTTTCCCTTTTCCGGGGATCGCAATAATACACCCGTTGTGCGAGAGGGCCACTCACTAACCTGTAAGGCTGCCTCCTCCCCGCCCCAGGTCCTTTCCCAAGTGGGCAGTTTGCCCAGCCAGCCCCAGGGCAGGCCTGGGGATGGATGCCGCGGATTCTCCTCCTGTTCAGGGGCTTGACCCAAGACACAAGGGGGTCGGAGTTGCTCTTCCAGCCCCAAGGTGCAGAGGCCATTTTGGCCCCTCGACCCACATTTCCCCACACACATCCTCCGACAAAGGCAACATGTCTGCTGGACTCCAAGGTCTCAAAACCCGGCCGCCCGGCCGGAGCAGGTTCGGGGTTCGCGCGCCCCGCCGCACCCAGAAGAACCCCAGGCACAGCACGCTGCCAGAGCAAGGACCGCCCCGAGGCCTCCGGTCAAGGCTGAGAATCTGAGAGTGAGCAAATTCCCTCGAAGTACAGCCTTCCTCGAAATTAAAGCCCCGTCCCCCCAGCTTCTATCCACCAGGGCTCACCCAACTCCCCCTAAGTGGACTCAAAATTCAAAATGGTCCGTCGGCGCTCACCGTCGCTCCAGGAATACAGTATTTCATGGATTCAACCCGGCCACCCACTCTCCCCAAGATACCCAAAGCGGTGGCGCGGGGGCAGAAACGGTGAGGTTTCCCTGGATCTAAGCCCCCCCGGCCAGCGAACGCCCCTCTCGCTCCAGCTCCGGGGCGCAGGACCCCCGAAGAGCTGGGCGCCGCCCTCCTCCCCCCGAGGACCTGCAGAACTGCAGCCGGGAGAGCAGAGCGCAGGGTTCTCACTGTTCACGAATCTCGCCCCGCTAAAAGCGAAGGTGCCCGCGCCGCCTGGGCACACTCGTAGTAAAACATTTCCGCCGAAGGAGCTGATCGGCTCCTCCAAGTGGCCCTGGTGGCCCTGGGACGCAGCTTCAAGTTAGCCTAGGGCGGCCGGCTCCGCGGACCCACACCTCTCCGGTTCCCGCGAGTCCCAGCCAAGGGGCGAAACCGCCACCGAAACTAGCCCTGAGCGCCCTTCCCCCGCATCTCCCCTACGAGACGCGGTAGCCGCGGTCCCCACGCCGAGTCCGACTCTCACTTACTGCAGTCCCGCCCAGCCCACCCAAGACTGTGGGAGCAGAGGAGAACGCTCACCTGGCGGTCGCACCTGAAGCTGCGCGGACCGCCAGCGCGCCCCCGGGAACAGGGTTAGGGACCAGCCCCCCTCTTCCATCCACTCCCCTCCCCGACGGCCCGGCCCCTGGGCATGCGCACCAACGCCAGGCCGTGCGGCTGGAGGTCCGCCGCTCCGCCCGAGCGATCCCCACCTGCTGCACTTCGCACGAGCTCCTCGGCGCTCTGGCCAGTTCTCCCGCGAGTCCCGCTGTCTCCGCCTAGGGAAGGAGAAAGGGGAGGAGGTGTGGGGTGGCCGCCTCCTCCCTCTGCGACCCATTCACCTGAAACTCGTCTGGGAGGGGGAAGGAAGAGGTGGAGAAAGAGGCGGGAAGAACCGGTAAGGCTCCGCACAGTCCAGCGGAGCGCGGAGTTAAAGGCAAAGCACCATGTTTCAGGGGGAGAAAAGGGACCCAGTGCAGAGGAAGGTCTATGGCTCCGGGGGTCATGGACCACCCTGACGCTCGGTCCGCGGGTTTCTGGTAGAACAGCGGGGTGAGGTACAGAGAAGCCTGTTTTCCTCCTGAAGAAGAAGGGGGCGGGGTGCTCCTAGCTTTGGCAGGAAAAGCAGGTCTTCTTACAACATTTTCGTGCTCCAAAATTTGGTTAAAAATTTGTTGGAAGCAGCATCCAAATGTGGGAGATTTTCAAAAGTCATGCGTAAATTTACGAACTGTTTCAGAATCTCTGGATTTACAAAAGAAGACCATTACTCAGAGTGGTTAAATGAAGGAGAAGTATCGTAGATACCGGTGTCCGTAAATTTGCCATCAAAATTAAGTACACACCACTGTGGTATGATGGAGAATCTCGGGGGAAGGAACTAAACAATTTTAATACTATCTTTGGCTTTCAAAAAAGCCGAGTTTTATGTGCTGTCTTCTCTTTCTTCATCTGGAGGCTATTTCCAAAGGAGTGTTCGCTGAGGAAAATTCGTAGCCTACCCTTAAGGATGTGTATACTTTTATATACGTATGTTGTATTTCAGTATTTCAGTATTTCTTTTAACTAACACTCCGGAATGTAACAATTTTAGTTCTTGCTATTTAACTACTGCATTGATGACTACAGTATAGGTTTCTTAAATCCTGCTTCACTTTGTGTTCCAATCTGGAATGTCAGTTTTGCTAATAAACTTCTACCCAGTCCCACCCACTTCTCTGCCTTTAATTAAGTGGTTAGAGATGTAACTCTCCCATGCAATAAATCTTAATCCATAATTCAATACTTAAGGAAGTAAAAGCAGCATACAGATATAAAATATTTAAAATGATGACAGTCTTAATGGATAATTCATCTGATTGGCATTGTTTTTGTGGAAGTCACTGCTACAATTACTTTAATACGACTGTAGTTTTTGAATGATGCAGTTTAAATTGGTGGTGTTAACACTGGGGAAGTTAGGTTAATCCTCTTAATGTTCCCTGTCAGATTACTGAGAACTCCAAACATTCCACTAGGTTTATAATTAAACAAGGGAACATTTCCTAATACTCTCAGATTTATAAACACTTGTCTATTTTTTTTAGTGTGCTTTGACATGTTCTGAAGAGAACTTAAGAGTTTTTTCCCTACTTTTAAAAGTTGAAATGTTTCTTATGCCATAAAATTCATCCTTAATTTTAATGTGTACATACAAGTTAGTGGTTTTTAGTACATTCACAAGGATATAACTACCACTACTGCCTAAGTCCAGAATGTTTTCATCACCCTAAAAAGAAGCCCTGTGTCCATCAGTGGTCACCCCCATTTCCTCTGGCCTCCAGACTCCAGCAACCACTCACCTGCTTTTTGTCTGCACTGATCCGCCCATTCTGGACGTTTTATGTGAATAAATAATACAACACACATGCCTGGCTTCTTGCACTGAACATGATGTTTTCAACATTCATTCATGTTGTAGTACTTAACCCATTTCTGTCTGTGGCTGAAGAAGATTCCATTGAATGGATACATTGCATTTTGCCTAAACCTTCATCAGTCCATGGGCATTTGGGTTATTTCCCCTTTCAGTTATTATGAATAAAATGCAGGTACAAGTTTTTGTGTGGACATATGTTTTTAATTCTCTTGGGTAAATTAAGTTTTTTAATTCAACTTTTTATCCTTTTAAGAAACTAACTCATGTATACCATGTTATTTTTCTTTCCTTTCCTTGGCTTCTAGAGAGAGAGAGGCAGGGGGAGAGAGAGAGAAAGAATTGTTCCACTCATTTACACATTGATTGATTGATTCTCGTATGTGCCCTGGCAGGGATCGAACCCTCAACCTTGATGAGTTGAGATGACATGCTAACCAACTGAGCTACCCAACCAGGGCCATTGTTTTTCTTATCCCCACACCAAACCTAAACCCAAAGCTTTGTTGTGTTAGGATGGAAGGTTAGTTACCACATTTCATTTGCTCTCCTTATTCACTCATTCAACAACATTTTTTAAAAGATTTTACTTATTTACCTTTAGAGAGGAAGGGAAGGAGAGAGGGAGAGAATATCAATGTATGGTTGCCTCTCATGGGTCCCCTGCTGGGAACTGGCCCACAACCCAGGGCCATGTGCCCTGACTGGGAATTGAACCGTGATCCTCTGGTTCACAGGCCCGCACTCAATCCAGTGGGCTACACCAGCCAGGGCAACAACAATTTTTTTGAGTGACTACCCTGTGCACAATAATTACCAAAACTACAAAAAATCTTGTCTTAGCAAAGCTTCCCTATTAAATTCATACATATGGAATATTAAAATTTATTAAGTTGAACTATATGCAATTAGAAATAGTTGATCATTTTTAACTACAAAATGGCAATTTCATGAGGTTCAACTTAATACTAAACTAAATTTCTATTGTAATGTTGTATGCCATTTTTATTCCATTCAGATTAATTTTACAAATGATGCTTGAAAAATTGAAAAATCTAAAAACTGGTGTTTTAGCTATTGCCTAATAATGTGCATATCAGGTAGTTGAAATCTTCAGAAAGAAAATGCAACCTCAAAACCTAAACATATCATTCTTCAATAGCAAAACAAAATTTGTTGGATGCTAAATGATGCCATGCTCAATGTATTCATGTTATATAATCATAAGTTGCCGCAAAATTTTAATTATTTTTAATTAAATATTCCTTCTTGGCAGCTCACAATAGAATTACGGACTAGGATCCACTATTGAACATTTGATGAAAATCCTCAAGACTCAAAGGAAATATTCTCAGAGATACTATGATTAGAAATTTGTTGATTTTTCCCTGCAGTCAAATGCATGGTAAAAAGTTTTTAAAACATTCTTTTTCTTCAGTTTTATATGTAAAGGAGAAACTTAAGAGCTCAGAATATGGTGTCAGAAATTTGCTTTCAAATATCATCTTGCCGGATGATATCTAGCTGGATAGGGTTAATCCTTAAGGGAAGTTAAAGTACATAAGCTTTATTTTTCTCTACTGTCAATGTGGAATGATAATAAATAGGACTCTATTCATAACATTGCTGAGAGGCACTGCTCACCCGAATAAACCATATGCTGGGCCACAAGACAAGTCTCAGTAAATTCACCAAATCATTAGCTGTAGCCCACCTGCCTCACAGTTTCTGTCGCAGTGTTCTTCCACACATACTTGTTGAATGAGCAAATGAATATTCAGTAGCCCTGATTCTTGAATCCAATATGCCTGTGGAGTCTTGTCCGTCTCTCTTTGATAGTCTCCTGCCATTGTGAAAACAGCATATTCCTTAACAGCATTTCAAGGCTGACAACTCTAGTACTAGGTCTCAGAGGAGAAAAGAAAGGGGATTAGAATATTTCTGCTCTGCCTCACCTGCTTAATGAATGGATCTAAGGATGGCTATTTGTTCAAGGGCAACTCAGTGTGGAGTTGCTGAGGGCCTAGCAGGAAGGGCCCATAGTTTCCCCACCCAGTCACAAGGTGGGACAGATTATGGAGGAGTTTATGGGGAAGTCACCAGGAAAGCAATTTCTGAGGAGATGATGACATGTGGTGAGTAAAGCTCTATCTTCTCAATTCCTAAGTATTAAGCAAGATCCTCAAGGAGGAGCTGAGGTTAAACAGAGGCCCCGAACTGGAATGTCTTCAACAAGTGGAAGAACAGTCATTGTAATCACCATCATTTACTCAGGGTAACCACATGCCAGGCGCTGTACTAAGTGCTTCATAGACTTACTTTTTTGTCTTTACAACAATCTTTATGATGTAATATTTTCCACATTTCTGGAAAACTAAATCTCAGAAAGATTTGATCATTCACTCAAGACAGTCCACTAAGTTGTAGAGTCCAGATTCAAGTGCACATTATCTAATTCCAGAATTAATGTTCTTAACTGTTTTACTGCTTTTTGACTCTAAGAAAAATATCCAAGCTCATTTAAACTACCCATAAAAAGAATTCAGATTACAGCCATAGAAAAAATAACCCTAAGGAAAAAATGGAGATACAGTGGAGTGTTATGGATGGGAATGAACCAATGCAAGCACCTCCCAGCAACATGGTGAATCATTCAAACATAATATTGAACAAAATAAACAAGAAATGCCAAAAGGCAGTATGATTCCCTTTATATAAAGTTCAAAAGCAGGCAAAACTAAATTGTAGCATTTGAGGATAAGTAAGCAGTAAAAACTACAAAGGAAATTAAAGAAATTATTATCATAGAAGTTAAGATAGTGGTCACCTCCAGGAGGTACGAGGGGAAGGATGGGATGGGAAGAGAAGCCGAGATGCTTTGGGAGTACCGGCAGTGGTCTGCTTCCTGGCCTGGGTGCAGGTCACATGTCTGTTAGCTTTAGGACAGCTTATTCCACTGTACGCATTTTATGCATTTTTGTATAAATTTGTATGAGCCTTCTATTTTATAATAAAAAACTCACATAAAATAATAGAATTTAGAGACATCCAGAGACCTACATCTAGGGGTTTTGTTTTGTGAACAATATTCCTCAAATGCCAGCAGAAAGTAACTGTGGAATCAGAGGAAGTCGAGGTCATCACTTGAAAAGGCAGAGGAAAGATTTTGATCTGGGACAAAATACTGCCAAAATTATAAGGTTGATGGAGAGAAAAATCATTCCATGATTTTTAAATGGAATCAGTCATAGTCATTTCCACTACAGTGGAAAACTGGCCTTGAAGGCTTTTTCAGCCACTGGCTTCCTGAAGCTTTTAAGTTCAAAAAAGGTAAGGGGGAAAACTAAACATTAACCAAATACTGCAGATACTATGTTCTCATATCTAATTTTGACTTGATGGGTCTCTTTATTTCCTGTGTCCCCAGACTGTAAAATCCACCGATAATAATCTGGTAAGTTATCAACAAGGAATCCTAACCCTAGAAAAATCACTTGAACTGGGCTAGTATGCAACCGATAGACTAAGCAGATCACAAACTTATCTTGACATTCTGTTGGTTATGAGGTGCAGTTCTTTCATTTATTAGAGGGGCTGCCACATGGTAGCTTCGCTGATT